ATGTATAAAACTCCAATTGACAAAGGATCGCTCCTGAATGTGTTTATAATGAATGAACTATTGTTCACAAGCTGTTTATATCGTGTTCATACATGTTTTTTTATTTATTTWCTTTCGTATAACAGTTATTATTATTTATTGTGTTTATAAATGCTATGCAGTCCAAGTTCATATATATGTCAATTTTTTGTTCGTATTTGACACAATGGTTCATATATATATAGTTGTGTTCATATGGTTCTTATATTAACAAAAATAAATTAAYAAAAAAATCATATAATTTTAATTTTGTAACTCCCAATTAATTAATGATATGGGAGTTATATAATTTTTTTTTACCTAAATACCCTTTTCAACATTGTTCACTTATCTTTATGCAATTTTAAATTTAAAAAAATAAGTTTTAATCATAATTAATCACAACCGTTTATTGAAAGATTGAATGGTCAAGATCGGTTAACAAAGTTAACACAAAAACTTTGGTTAACATTTGATCTTACCCCTATATATATATATATATATATTATATGCATGTGTATTAATATGTATATATATATATAATATTTATTATATGTGATGGATGTATGAGTGAGGGTGATAAAGGTAAGATGGCCGACTTTTGAAGGGCGGTCATACACTTGCTATATATAGCAAGTGTATGTAAAAAGAAAAGGATTTTCTGGTTTTGGAGAAATATTTCTGCATATTGAGAGAAAAGACTGAAGGAGAATCACAGACTTGAATCCAATCAGCAATAGAAGGTGAGTGTATATTGCTTTAAAGTATTGGTTATTACATCTTTTAATGCTAGAATATGCTATTTATGAACTGCATTTCATAAATATTTAGTTAAGTCCTTAAACCGGACAAAGAGTGTCCGGAGTTCTCCTTAAACCGGTCAAGAGGTGACCGGATCTCATCTAAATCGGTCAAAGGTTGGGCGATGTATTGTCCGGATTGTTTTAAATCGGTCAAAGGTTGGGCGATGTATTGTCCGGATTGTTTTTAATCGGTCAAAGGTTGGGCGATGTATTGTCCGGATTGTTTTAAATCGATTAAGTTGTGAGTGGGGTATTGTCCGGACTTGTTATCCGGACAAAAGATATTGACTTAATTCTAAGTGTTAACCGGACAAAGCTTATACAAGGTGTTGTCCGGATTGTTGACCGGAGATGATATAACCCTCTTGATATTCCAAGTGTTTGTCCCGATTTCATATCCGGACAAGTTTGACCGGACTACAAATCCGGCTAATGTAATGGCGGTGTAACCGCGAGAGAGATAAACAAGTATATATATCTGAACAGGTTTGATTCTGAACTGATTGTTTAGAAAGTGTGTTATTTGTTTGAGATTTATACATTCACTAGACCTTTTTGGGTCTAACGCTCAGTTGTTGGACTAACCGGTTTTGCAGGTCATCATAACTCGCAGAATAAAGGAAAGGGAAAAGTTTAATGTTGATGACATTTGTTTACTCATAAATGTAGTAAAGAAAGTTTTTGTTAGTCCGTGTTTTGTAACAATACTATTTTTAGTATTATGAGTATATGTATGTGGATTATCTGTATATGGAAACTGGGAGTTGTTACAGTTGGTATCAAAGCCTTAGTTTAAGGGATCTGGGTATTTGCGAAATACTTAGACTTAAACTAGAGGTGTGGAAAGTTATGATAATAGGTTTCACTKGRTCTATGAACATGGAAAATATGTTATAGCTGAACCTATTATGAGAAAGATAGATTATATATGATTGATATAATATGAGTTATGGATAGACTTGAGGATGAATGTGTTATTATGTTTTGATTATGAAAATAATCGTGTGTGTTTAAATGTGACAGAAAGAGTTATATACTGAGAATTGGCAGATAATCTCAATCAATCAGAAAGGACCTCTACTGGTTATGGAAGAGGTCGGGGAAGAAGAAATGTAACACAAGGAGAGGACCTGGAAAATGTAATGATAATAGAAACGCGAAGTCGTAGCAGGGGTCGAGGAAGAGGTAGAGGTACTAGACAAGAACAGGAA